CTTCAAATTTGGGATAGAAAAAGTGAGAAAGGCAGCCAAGAGCGCTGATAGTGCCCTGGGGTGGGCTGTCTTTGTATTACTTTGTCTCGGGGGGGAGCGCAGGAGTCCCGGCTCAATAAGGGATATTGGGGGAGTTTGCAAGCCCTGCAAGGCATTGTCTGAAGGAGCTGCTCCAGATAAGCATCACCTAGCAACCGGCTGCATTGACACAGTAACCTTCAGGGAGCCGTGGAGAAATACAAAGGCATTTTGTTAATCCCGGAGACTTCAGAGCGCAGGTTGAAATTGTTTACTCACTGAGAAGCCAGAGTGAATCGTAGCTCGAGCAACTCCCAGCCAAACAGGTCTGGGGCAAGACCCTGCCGCTCTCTGTGGCTCCGCAGAGGTTTGTCTTTCCCTCTCACTCCCCAAAAGGATCACTCATCTTCGCACAGGGGTTGCCAGCACATCCCCGCCGCAGCAAGGGGATCCTGAGAACAGCGCACGGAGATGGGCTCGCGGGCGGCATGCGTGCATGTGGTCTTGTGAGGCTGTCTGAGGGCCCGGAGGCACAGTCACATTTTAAAAGTATTCAGTATGTAAATGCCTCTGTTTGCCTACCGATTATCCAAAGCAGGTGCTCAGCGATAATGGTTTCTTCATGGTCCCACATCTCTCCACCTTTCCGACTATCCCCTGGGAATTTGATGAAACATTTAAAACCATGCTGTGTTCCCCTTAATAAATTCCCAGCAAACTGGCTTATCCAGAGCTCAGCAGAACCCAATGGCCTGTTCAATGATAACCCCGAGAGTTGGGGAGACAACAGCACCCAACCCTCCTTGGGCAGAAACCAGGCTGCGGCACTAAGAATGAAAAGAAAGGGAAAGCACAAGGTTGCAGAGACAAAAGCAGAAAGGCCAAGGCACAGAGCAGGATACAGCCAGACCGGGCACAAGGAGCCATCCTACGAGCATGTTAGCAGACAGACAAAGTCCAAGGACTCAGCGAGGAGGCAACATTCATAACATAGGATGGCCAGAAGGACAAAGTGTTTAATGCCATTTTGGCTTGAGGCTTCCCTAAAAAAGGAAAGTGTGATCACAGAACGAATAATGCAATCAGCACGGGTGATACGAACTGAAGCTGCAATGGGTGAGGAGGAGATTGGCGATTGCTTAGAAAATACAGATGTTTTCAAATCAGCTGGGTCTGACATCCTTCTCCCCACAGCACTGAGGAAGCTGGTCAAAACCACCCCAGAGCTGATAGCCATGATCTCCGAGACACACGGAGAATGAGAGAGGCTCCAGGGGACTGGGCAAGGGGCAACAACAGTGGAAAAGGGAAGATGGACTAAGTGCAATTCCCAAAACGATACTGGAGTGATAATCAAACACTCTTTGCAAGCAGCTAGAAAGTAATAACGGGCTAAGTAACAGCCAACGTGGATGTGCCAAGAGCACATCCTGCCAAGCCAAGCTGAGGCTTGCTCTATGACAGGGTAACAGACCTTGTGACAAGGAGGAACCGTGACATATCTGAACTTTAGTAAAGCTTTTGACACTGTCTCACATGATGCCCTCTTAAGCAAACCAGGAAAATGTGGTCAAGAGGACACTTCCATAAGGTGGGACTGCAGCTGGTTGCCAAACCGGTCTCTAGAAGGTATCCATGGATCACTCCTGAACTGCAAGAACCTATCGAGTGGGGTCGGCAGGGTCTCTCCTGTGCCCAGCCAGTCCATATTTTCATTAATGATTTGGATCCTGGACTGGAGAGCATGCTCATTAAATGTACTGAGCAGGGAGGGGCTGCAGGCACACCAGAGGAGAGGATGAGAGTATAAAATGTTCCTGACAAACTGGAGAAATGGACAAACGCAAAGTGCTGCCCATACATAGGAATAGTCAGCTGCACAAATACAAAATGGGGAACAGCTGGCTAAAAGAAAGCTTTCCAGAAAAGGATCCGGGGGGTTATAGCAGATCACAGCCTGAATGTGAGTTAGTAATGTCAGGTTGCTGCAAAAAAAGAAAAACCCAACAATGCATCAGGACATACAAGCAGGAGTAGAGCATGCAAGACCAGGAAATAATCCTTCCGCTCTCCCCAGCGCTGGTAAAGTTTCAGGTCTCAAGAAAAATGTGGACCAGTTGGAAAGAGTCCGGAAGAGAACAGCCAAAACGATCACAGAAGAAGTGCTAGGTTAGACGTGGAACAGCGTTCCAGCTGGGAGGTAGCTTAGGACTGGGAACAACTGGTGCAGGTGCAGCTGGCCTGTCTTGGGGCACAGCAATGGACTGACATCCAAGGTCTCTTCTGGCCCCATGTCCTGCTAGTCTACGATGGAAATCCAGTCCTGATGACTTAGTAGCTTGACAGGGTAATGGGAAATACAGGAAGGGTCGGCAAGGCACCGCGAGAGACCTGAAAGCTTACGGACACGGGAATGGATTCAGCTGTGCTGTCGGGCAGTTTACATTTTAAGCAGATGGTCTGAGCTTGCTGTAAGCAGACCTGTATAACGAAAGCTTAAATCAGAGAGTCTTTGTTAACAGCAGATGCTGGAGTCATATACTGCAAACAATTTAACAGGGAGGGAAGGGGCCTGAGGCTCAGTGCAATTCCCCAAGAGCCAAGTCCCTTGGCTTCGGCCACTGACTTGCTGCGGGACTCTGGGAAGGTGACTGGCAATGGACAACTTGCTGTGCAATTGCATGCTGCTCGTGTAGATGTGGAGGTCTGCCTATGTGCCAGGGGTCCAGGGACCCCACTGCCGGACTTCAGTGGATGGCCCTTCTTTAACACTGCTGTTTCCTAGAGAAAGAGCCCTTCGGCCTGTCAGTCCCCTTTCAGATGCACCCCGGTTATAACATAAGAGTGCACGTGTGTGTGTGTGCGCGCACGTACATGTACATACAGGCACCACCACTAAGCAATGGATACACACAGCTCTTCAACACCTGAGTGAGGGTGCAGTGCAGAGCCCGGCCAGGGGCTCTTCCACAGCACGGGATGGCTCAGAGGGGGAGGAAACACATCCCCTGCTCCCACACAAAAGGACAGTCACCACAGGTCTCTCTCTTTTGCATTGCAGAAAGAATATTCCCTCCAGCCCCTACACCATGGTAGGAATGGGAAGCATGTCACCAACAGCTCGGGTGAGTGACGTGGGCCAGCGCGGCTTGCACAGCTCAACCAACGTTTCACTGGGCTACCTGCATGTCTGGGCTAGCTGCATGAGTCTGCCCCTTGCTGCAAAGCGCTGGGGGGAGGGTCAGAACCAGGTTTCAAGCCAGCTGCTAACCTGGGCCCACACTGGTGGGGAAGAGAACGTGCAGCGGGCAGCCTGGGGGCATTTCAGACCAGCCTGAAACCGGCAACAGTGGGGCTAACGCGCTGGGGCCTGGTACAGCAGCATGAGGGGAGGGAAAGGGAGCAGGGAAGCCTCCATCCTGCATGGGGACTAGCCCCGGGAGAGAGCACGAGCAATCTGAGGACCTGGTGCCATGGGCCCCACCCTGCACCAGCCAATGCAGGTGAGTGGGTGAGGGGGCCAGCACACGCCTCCACTTGGAATAGGCTGGCCGAGCTCCCCACCGCCCCTGGAGGAGGAGGGACCCGGGGACTTCTCCGCAGCGTGGCCCTCTGGCCCGACCCCTACAGAGCAGGCTGCAACACTTCAGCCCTGCGGTTATTACGCCACAATTGCAGCAAGCTGGAGATCCACATGCAAGCTGCATTCAGCTCCCACGCTGCCAAGACAGCCCCTGACGCAGCCACCCTAGCAGGGAAGCCCTCCGTGGGTCCCCCACCTTTTTTTCCAGGTGGCAAATGATGCAACAAGGCTTGGGGACTGTCTGGCCTCAGAAGCATAAGGCTGAGGGATGAGGTCAGGGCAAGCACTACACCCAGAGGGGAACAGCGAGAGACGGGGTGAAGCCTGGGCAGTAGCTGCAGGGCAAGGGCATGGTGGGGGCAAGAGGAACTGGGCAGCAGCACAGGGCAGGGCTGTGGCCTCCACCAAATCCAGCAATGCCAACAGACCACAGTCCTCGAGTCAGCCTCTGAGACGCCCTCGCTTTCTCACCCGAGGAGCCTTGCTGTCTGTGCTCCTGTCCCCTCCCTCTCTTTTCCTGTACCCGCACATCCCTATTGACTCATCCCTTCCTGCTGCTACCCCAGCCCCTTTCCCCATGGATGAGCCCACAGCCTTTCTGGCTGTGAATTACGCTGGCCAGGGTGGCAGGGCCCCTCAGAGCTGAGCTCCTGCTTTCTCACAGCCCAGGGAGCAATCCTTTAGAGAGCTGGGGGTCAAAGGTCCCAGGATGCCACCCCCAGGGCTAGCTCTGGTGCCTGTACGCCAGTGCACTATTAGCTTTGTGGATAGTAACCGGGCTGGAAAAGATGCTGCCTCCATCAACACACCGGGACACTACTGCAGTATCATGGCTCACAACAGCACGGCAGTCCTGACTCTAGGTGCTCAGCCACAATGGCTTCTACCGAGGCCCCCACAGGCCACCCCACCTGGCTAAGTAGGTCTGCTCAGCGCACATTTAGGAGCTTGCTGCAACCCAGACAGCAATTCGGACACCTCGGTCAGCTCAGCGCGGCTGCTCGCGGTGTGGGAGTCGCTGTGAATGTTCTTGCCCAAGCTGCTGTTCCCGGCGCTTGGCACATGGGAAGCTGTTTTATCAGATGAGAAGGATCAGCTCATTCCTTCACGCTAGGCTGCTGCTTGCTCAAGGGGGAAAAGCATCCCAGAGCCGAGCAATTAATGTGGGGTCGGGGTGGTGGGGGTAAGCTCTGCATGCAGTACTGCCCAGGAAGCTCACTGTCTGGGCACCGGACTCTTGCAAAGGTGTTAATACTGCCCCCCCGGAGGCATGGGCTGCTCCCCTCACACCCCCGTAACACACTAGCACAGATCCAAGCGGAACGGTTTTGTTAGAGCAGAATGTGCTTGTCAGCAGGGGAGGGCAGCAACTATACAGCAGCTCAGGTCACGTGGCTGTTTATTCTCGCTCCCTCTGAAAAGATCTTACAGAAGTGAGAGAGCTTAGCAGTACCCAGCCAAAAGTCATGCACACTTAGGCTTGCACAGCACTGACAGGAGCAGCTCATTCAGCCCAAGGCGTACTGGGAAGCCCCAAGAACTCAGCCCCATGTCTCAGAGAGTGGAGGACCAGGTGAGGGTACCACCTGGAGCTACCGGACTGTACAGAGCAATGCTGGTCAAATCAGGTAAGCACAGGTGTCTCTCGTAAAGCCTTCCCGGGAAATTTCCAGGGCAGCCATCGAAATCTGAGCGACAGAAAACTTCCCTTTGGGTTTCTGCATGCTTACCCAATGCTTTCTTCCGAAAGCAGATGGAGTGTTTCTGAGTGCCTCTCTCCTGGGCAGACACTGCACCACGCATGTATTTACCCTGGGACTATTTTACAGCCAGTTCCAAGTTACGCTTTTGAGACGTCTCTTCCCTTTAATCCTGCTGTAGCTCAATGGCTTTAACTCCTTTGTTTCCGCCTTTCTAAATGGTTCCCCAGGCCCCTGTACACTGTACGCAATTCCCCTCTGCAATTCAGGTGCTCTGCTTGGAAGGGAATTCATTGGACAGAAGATACGTGCTAGTGAAGAAGATAGTGCTAGCCCTGTTTAACTGCTGGGAACTTACTCTCTTCTCTCTTAAATATGTCTGGGCTACCTTAAAGCAGTCACTGGTGACCGGATGAGTGGGTCTCTTTCGGCATACCTCTGTTAAAGCAGAGCAAACAAGTGATGATTTATGAGCAGTAAATGATCGGTAGGCATCTGTCACTTCTTAGCAAAATAAATCAGCCGTTGCATTGGTAATCCTTAGCAATACCTTAGAGGGAGGAGTCCTGTACACCCTGGAAAAAATTATTCAGAACACCGCAGTCACAATATTGTTTTGGCTGCTACCATAAAATACTATGGCGTGTTTCTCTCTGTGCAGCATTTGACAAGTCTGAAAGGCATCCAACTGATACACCTTGTTAATTGTTAATAGCAGGCGGGATCCAAGGCCATCATGTTTATTTAACTATCACAATCGGAGAAGTTTTGAACTAAATTGTTAATTAATACGCAGGATTTCACCTGCTTCCACAACAGAAGGGATGTTGCTGCAGGCATAACTTTGTAAGCGGCTTCAGGCTTAGCTGATGTGCAACAGGAGAGGTAGGAATTTTAAATAAAGATTGTTTGGTTTGTCGAAAAATCAGTCAGTGTTTGTTTCCTGTGAAAATGTGCCAGTGAGCACAGCTGGTGAAGTCCCAGGTCCAGTGGCCTGCCTTTCTGAAAGCAGCAATAACTACAGTTTGGGAGAGGCTCCTAAGCTGATTCTGCTCCTATGTTCATTGGAAGGAACTTGTTAGCTCCAGTGGAGTTTCCCCAAGCAGTGGAATAATTGAGTGTCCCCATCCCCACATGTCCAGGGGACAGGAAATCTGTCCCCGTCCTCACATTTGTCCAGGAAAGATAGGAAGCATTGGGAACAGACAGGTGAATGGGAGTATCACTAAGTACCACCAGCATCTAGATGGCATCAGTGGGTAGTTTACGTCTTGCACAATTACTTTTTGATGTACTGGGTCAAGTCGCCTCCCTATGCAGGTTTTACAGATCAAAGCTGGTAGAGCTCAGGGGACAGGGGGGGCTGGGGGCTTATAGGCTTGGTGGCAGGACAGGACACCTCTGGCTTCCACAGCAGATTAATGGGTCAGCACTAGCTTCGACTAGTGGGCACCAGAAGATGCACCACCTAAAAGCTGCTGAGTGGCCTACCTGGAAATAAGCTATTTGATCTCCTAAAATCACAGAATTGGAAGGGAGCACACAGGCCATTTCTCCGACCCCCTGCACAGGTGCAGGATGCGCCGTTCCTAACCCAGTGCAGATGTCTTCATCATAAAGGGAGACATCTCTCAGGCTCCAGTTGAACACATGGCTAGATACCGATATCCTGATTTTCTTGCTTCCCTTTACCAACAGTGGGTGTCAGAAAAGGGTGTTTTCTTCTCCTCTGACTCAAGGTGAAAAATTCTCTGTTTTGTGGACCACCCCTTGAGAAACTCCCATGAAACTGCTATGAGAAGATGGTTTCAATAAATTTGCAGGGAAGAGTTGCTTCTATGCCCAAATTAAAACATGGCACGTAGATGGGTGCAGAGCGCACACTGTCTTGGGCTGGCTGTCATCTCACTGCAGGCTCAAAACAGTGGGCATTATTTAAAACTGGGGGAGGGTCAGTGCTGAAGGACCCCCCAGCAAAGGCAGAGAGGACTGCTAGAGGGTCAAGTCCCGGATATGGCTGAACTTGAGAAAGGGCCAAACGTGACCTGCGGCTGGAGGCTTCCCACAAAAGCTGCTAATCCCTGAGAGCCGTTTCCATTTCCAGTAACACTGGCATTTACCTTCTCTTCCTGACACAGTTCCCTTGGTTCTTCCCTCTGCTCCAGAATTTCAGTCCTGACCAAGGCTGTGGGAACCTGCCACATGCACATTTGCAGCTCAACCTTAGAGACCTGATAGTTCAGAAAGCATTTCCCAGGGTGTTCACATCAGGTTACATTGGCCCTATTACATTATAAATGCCAGAATTAGGCTTGGTGAATTATTTAACGCTATAGATTAAAAGCATACAAAGGATTCTTGCTCTTCCTTTTGGAGGCTGCACTATTGTTCCTTGGAGATACAATCACCAAGGGGTGTAGGGGTGAGTGACAAGGAGGGGAGTGGCTGCCAGGTAACACATCTTCGTGATGACATGCAAAGAAAGACTGCGGCCAACTCTGTGCACAGCAAGGTCCAAAGCCTGCTTCCTTGGCAGACAGCGTGGCTGGAGAGAAATAATACTGGGGTGTTGGTGGGAGCCATCTGAGACAGTGATGAGAATTGGCATCTGTCTATCTTCGGGCGGCTGTAGTAACAACTGTGACGCCCACGACCACAGCAGCATTACACCACTGCAGGCATTATGTACCCTCCGAGTCTGACTGGCCTTCTGTCCCAGAAGTGGCCTGTTAATGACACTCTGTGACTGCTTTGTGTCACACACTGTGGACTGTGACCCTTAGAAAGTGTCTGCCTGCAAAGCCCCACCACTGCACCTCAGACATCATGCCATCTCCAGGCTCTGCTCCCTTCTCACCGTACAATCCAGACAGCTTTGCACCGGGCTTCTTGAGAGAATCTACTGACACGGAAAGGGATGCAAACAGCTTTCCAGAACAGTTTGTTTCCTGCCTTTTGGAGAACTCCAGAGGAGAGGAGCACCTCCCAACTCCGAGTGCTTCTCACTTGCGAGCAAGATTCTTGCTAAACTCCTACGAGACAGACCGTCCTCCCGGTTACAGAATTGTAGTGGCACGGCCCAAAGCTGGGAAGAAACTAGAACTTTTTATACCACTGCTTTATTGCTTTCTGACGTCAGGTTAACATAGCTTCAGCGCACAGACTATGTTTCTCCAGTTAGGATCTAACCTTATTTTTTTCTGAGCTCTCAACGTACCGGGGCAGGTCTATAGCTGTTCCAGCCCCAGCGCCTTCCGTAGCACTATTAGTTTGCACTAGCTCAGGATCTTCTCTGTGGGCCTTGCTGTGGGAAATGCAAGGCAGCAAGGACTGGCCAGATTAGTGCTTCGTTTGCAATGCTAAAGCAAAAGGCAGAACAAATTTCCATCACCTCCTGACAGCCTCAAATTATACCAAAGTTGCTGTGCATTTCAGCCATGCTGCATTCTGACCTTTACACGCAGGTACGTGGGCACCCTTATAAAAGGGTTGAAAATCTTACCTAAGACTCAAGCAGGGATCTGAGAAGCACCAAGGGCATAGGAAAGCATTCAAAACTCCCCAGCAAAACATCAGGCTAAAAGCAAAACAAAAGCCTCCTACTGATTTGTTACTGCACCTTCCCAGTGTCTGTATGAAACAGCAGGCACCTGCGTGTTGCCAGTCTTACCTCTTCCAAGCAACATCTCAAGAAAGGCACCTAATATCAGGCTTCTTTTGTAAAGCCATGACATTCAAACTTAAAAATAGAGCCTTTACCTTAACAGTGTTTGTAGGCTCTGCATACCTTCAGGTCTCATTATGCTAGAGAGGAAAACACCTATAATTTAAAATCCATTTAAGTCAATGGAAATGCTCCCACTGGCTTCAAATAGTCTTTGGATCGGCTCCAAAAGGCACTGATCTGAGACACCTGCAAACTAGCACAATGGCCAGATGTCGGTCAGCTTGGCAAGGCCACTGGGAAGCCAAGCACTGGCAGACCGGCTGGCTCTCACCATGCCAACACGCTGTTAAAACTTCTGCAAATAGAACGGATTTCCTCAACAGAGCTGCAAAGCTTCAAAGCACCTAAAGTGCCCTGAGAATTGTTATGGAAGTAGGAACATGGGACATACAATGATGCATGGGACTTCTGGTGCTTAGTGTGCACCTTTTGAGATATTGGATGGCTCCTTGGGCCAAAAGCAGCTCTGTCAATTGATTTAGAGACTTCTAAGATGTGGATATTAAACTAGTAGTCCATAGCAGGCCGTGTTGCATGGCACTGCTGTACGGAGGCCGTATTGTTCTTTTATGTGATGCTGCAAGTGCTAAACACTGATGCATCTGGGTGAACTGGGGGCTAACCAGGTGCAGGGGGGCAGGCGCAGCAGCTTCTCTTTTAGACAAACCCAACTGCAGGCTGCTGAGATTTTTTTTTTTAAAGAAATAAATCAGATTCACGTTTAGAGCCAGCAAGGCTCGGGGGCGCCTGCCCATTCCGACGCACACAAACCCAGTGTGTTCCCGCAGCAAAGAGCAGGTGCTAATGCATCCGGACAGGCACACGCACCTTCCCCCTGTGCTGGAGTGGTGATGCATGATTGACTCTAGCCTCCTTCGGGGAGTACAGGAGCCAGCACTTATCTCCCAGCTGTTTCTTTAGTAACTGGGGGTGAGGCAGTGCAGCAGAGGCAGCAGATCTTAGCCAGTTTCACAAGCTGCAAAGCCGGTTTGTCTGGTAGCAGCCTGCCCAAGTGTGCACTCCTAACCCCCTGGCATCATATCAGACTGGGTCCTCCTTAAACCTGCCCTTCCTTCTCCAGTTCCACTGATCTTACTGCACCGTTGGCTTCAGAGTTCAAGTTAGGTGTACAGTCTGCTGGATCAAGTGCATACACACAGGCCCAGAGACACATTCTGCTAGCGCACGAGCAAGGGCTCCA